ACCTTCATTAAGCATCGAAGAGTGCATCAGTATGTCTGATACCGGTTAGCTTCTGCACAGAAGTCGATGATCAATCTGATAATGGTATCGTCTGACTTAAGACGCTCGGTAATGGATGTTCGCGTTAAGAGAGGCGCAGAGCTATCAGCTGATCACCACCTTAGTGAATTTCAGCGATCACTTGAGCTCCATAAATGGCATTTCCACGAAGCATTGAAAAACGCTGACCCATGGAGCAGGAAAGGTGCAAGACTGTCGCGAAACCCGATAGTTATGAAATGCATGGTCATTCACAACGGCAGTGTTGGTGTAGACAAACGGTAATTGGTGTCAGTTGAAACGTACATGTCCATGATATTTCCAGTTTACCAACAAAAGCCAGGTTTCTGAACCGCCTAAATGAGTCGTTTCTCGAGGTATATGGTTGAATCGCATCTTCTCCAAGACAGAATGAAAAAATTCGACCTTCTAGCGTGCCAAACTACTTTCGAATATTTGCTCGTTCGTTTCCTCGCATGCTACTGGTTCGTTTTTCGGGACGGCTTATCAGTTGACGCTGTGAGTGTGGAGGTAATCAATTTTACGAGTGTTTGGTGCCAATTAACCGCCAGCTACAGTAATTATGTAGCGAAGACGACGGTTTTCAAATGCTCCTGGCCGGCGCTTTTCAGCCATGTCGTCGTCGCTCATGGACGATCGTTTGGCATGCCTCGGTCTCGGCAGCGAATCCCAGGCACCCAACCTGGTTCTTTGCCCGAATGACGCAAATGGCGACCTTGAAGACGACGACTTACCCAACGGCTGCCGACAATGACGCCTGTCGCGTAATATTACAACTGTTCCAAAACCTAACCAGTTGCACGGTACAAAACGAGCACCAAAATCGGAATCGTTTCCAGAAGTACCATATCAGCGTTTTGTGAAAAGGACACAGTCTGCATCGGTGTGCGGTAAAAGGTAAAACCGTTCATCTCTAGCTAAAACTGAGGATAGCAGTATTCATTGTGACACACCTGAGCAACTTATAGATGCTTTATTTTGTACGGCTGGCTTCCATTTAATTTTCATTTCAACGAACATGGTTCAAAAGAAATTTGAACATGTGATTCGTAATTCTTTTTCGCATAATCACTCTCATCGACTTTCGTCGATCCACTGCTGGATGAAAGCTTCTTCAAGACTTGCCATGAACTTCCCTTTTTTAAATATCTGCCATTTTTGTCCATCTTCATGCAGCGAATTTCTTCAGCTCATCTTGCCGTCGATCTGCAGGTCTTCCTAAGCGCTGTTTGCTTTCTCGCAAAATCCAGTCTAATGTCTCTCTGGTCCAGCGACGGTCGGTTCTTTTTGCAACGTGTCCTGCTAATTTGCACCAACTTCTTCACTTGTACTATGACGTTACAGAATCCTCTTTGGGTCTTTTTTTCCACTGGTTCATTTATCTGCTTTTTCTCTTTATTCCCAACATATTTTCACCCCGTATTTGCAGCTAGCCCTGGGATCACACACTTACGAAGGCACAGCACAAGTCTTCCGGATAAGAAAATTTTCATGCTTCCAAACGTGTCCACAAGCTGCTGAAATGGGCTTTCTTAGACGAGTCGCTGGCCTTACGCGTCTCGACATGGTCCGGAATAG